AGATCAAAGAAACTAGCAGACTAATCACTAAAAAGGCCTTTGGTTCAAATTGTGACATCTATCTGAACTTACTCAATTATCTCGTGAACTATCTGCTTCAAAAAGAGAGTTGGTTGAATATGACCTTTGGGAATATTGAGATTGCCCCAAACTTGACCCCAAACTTATTCAAACACACTAAAGTAAGAAAAAGATAGATAAAAATATATACAAAGGATACATATGAGAATGCCTCCCAAGAGCGGTTGTTTTAAGTCTCTAGTCTGACTTTGTGGGCTTGCTAATCATAAGTATCAAAAGGCTGAGCCAATGCACTTTTGGTACTTCTTCTACCAGAACAAGAAAAAAAAATGCGCAAAGGAGCACACTACTGTCTGTAGAAAATATTTTTCATCAAAGAGCTTCACTATGGAGGTAAAATGAATTATGAAATGCTTGTTAAGGTTCAGATGCATTCCATGAAAAGGCCATGGAGTCTTATACAAAGCAGATCAATGAGTGGAAGCAGCGATGTCTCAGGGGCAAGAGAACACGATTTATTATCTTGACGGTTTAGCAAGAGTTACATGTACATTGGGTGCAACATGTGACTATAGATAAATCACTCAAAAACTCAGCTAACCGCAAGAGAGAACATGGCGGGAAATATTTTTGTCCACAACCTCGGCGCTTACAGTATGTCCTCTAAGGCGGATAACCTTGTAAGTTCTATATATTTGTTTATAAAATATTTTTTTATATATTTACTGATTAATTTTTTTCTTTTAGGTTGAAACAAATCACGGTAATTCCGTTGATTTTCTCAAAGTCATGAAGGAGACGGACAAAATTCAGTACCTCGTTATGAGAGAGGTCATAGAGTTGGTGGAAACCCAAAAATAAGCATTTTTAGCTTCTCAGCCTATCCTTGATGATGATTCCTCGGCAGCTTCCACCAACTTGTCCAAGTTCGAATAAACCAAATGGTGGAAAATGTAGTTTTTTAGATTTTTCATTTCATTACTATTTTAGTTTTATAATATTTTATTTCTCTTTTTAAAGGAAACTACAAAGAAGAAAGGTCGTTGGTTGAGTTGGGTTGGTTCATCGTGCCTCTTATTGGCATTCTTCTTCACAAGCCATGTATGTTGATCCCATGATTATAGAGCAACTGCAGAACAAGGATAACCGAATTGTAGCGTGGGAGATGCAGAACGCTACAATTCTTGCTCAAATGCAGCAACAGAGTGCTTAAATGGCAGAACAAGAAAAAGACTACAAGGATTAACCAGAGAAAAATGGACAAGATGAAGCGTTTGTTTCCTTCAGAATTTTGGATTCTTTTTTAATTAAAAACTTTTAAATGTCATTTTCATTACGTAAAACTTAATTTCTATAATACTTGTTTTCAATTTCAATTCATAGTCAACTTGTTTAATTAAAATATAAATATAAAAAAAAATATATATATAAATATTTTGAAACTGATAATTATAAATATAGATTTCAACGAACATGATTCTGTCAGATATGTTTTTGACCAAATATTTTTGTCAGAAATTTCCGACCAAACATATTTGTTGAAAATTTATGACTAAACATTTTCGTTGGAATTTTTTAGACAAAATTGTTTGGTCGGAAATTGCTGACTAAGTTACTTCGTTGGAAAATACAAACATCGACATTTCGGATGACTCAGTTTGCTCGGAATTGTTTCTGAGAAATTACCAACGTTATCGTCCTGACAACTCCTATTGTCGTTTATCCGTCAGAAATGTGACCGTCAGAATTCATCGGACTTTCTTTGGAATTTTGATAGATTTGGACGATTTTTTTGTTTCCGACGAAACCATCTGACAGCCATTTTTGTCGGATTACTGTTCTTCAACGAGATTGGCCGTATGAATTCACATGTTTTCTTGAAGTGATATAACTTCAAACAGTCTGCTCTATCTGAGTCATCAACCTTTTCACATGGATGCTTAGAGACTCGATTTCTCATGCAACTAAATGTACATAACATCCAACTTCTCATTAAATTGATTGTCATCTTCTGTTGGCTTTCTAAAATATATTCTATGATAGTCGCTGACTTTTCTGATGTGAACAGACAAATATCTTCAATGTAGATACACTAAAAATGTCATTATTACACTGGTGGCGTGTTTTCATATATGCTAAGACATTGTGTCAGATAGATTTTTTAAATTATGTAGTATATTCCATGTTCGAAAAGGCGCTTAACGCAGTCGATTCCATGACGTTAAAGCGTTTGGCAGCCTTTTACCGTCCCGAATTTGGTCTGTTCAGGACAGAACACGGATCTATGAAAAAAAATATCAGTTCATTTTAATGTTACTTTGGGGTTATTTGATGGATTTATCATTTTTGTTATAAACTAATAGATAAAAGAAGAAGAAAATGATGAAAATGAGTAAAGTTAGTGATAAAAATGGCTACCGTTGATATTACGCTCAGCAAAATGCTAAATCTAAAGGAAGAAGATGATTACAAAATTACGGTTTGACAAGAAACATAAGGACAAAAATGACATTTGTGCTTCGAACTCGGATCCCACCAAACATTAATCATTTATTTACCAACTCAGCCGACACGTATTATCAGGTTTTCTCGGAAAATATATTATTTGTCCATATATACAAATAATCCCTGAGTTTTCTTAAGTCACTAGGTTCAAACTGACCGCCTGACTAGTGCCTAGCATCATTCCTAAGAGGGAATATATCTATAGGGGTATAGTCGCCAAGCGTCATGTATATATGGTGCAGAATCCATAAATATAATTATGTTCAAGTATGTCTATCTAAATTATCCCGAGTATACTCAAAAATATCTAAAATAACTAATATATTTATAATTATTTAGATATTAAATTATTATAAAATATTTTAACAAATTTTTATATATTCCAGTGTCAAATGTGTTTTGGATACGTTTCGATTCTCAGTTAGATTTCGTTCATTAAATATATTAGTCAAGACCCATTCGAGTATTTATGTGTGTCTGATAGTTTGATACACCTTAATTAGTAGGGGTGGGCAACAAAATCAGTCTGAACCTAACCAATCCGACCCGACCGAACCCAATCCAACCCAAATCAAACTAAAGTATTTGTCTAAATCATTTAAGTAAAGATTTTATCAACCCAAATAGTTTGATTTGGTTTGATTCGGTTTTAAATGAATCAAACCATAAAACTGAAAGATTTCTTTAATTAGATTAACTAAATATATTAATAATATTAAGATTTAAAATATTTAACCATTTAACATAAAAAAAACATTACTTTATAAATTTTACTTCTAAATGAATTAAAAATACAACTAAAAATAAAATAAAAGAATATAAATCTCATACACTTACATCAAGGCCAAAACAAATAGGGGGGTTTATTGGAAATAGAATTTGTGTGGAGTCTTAAAATTTTAATAGTTAATAGATTTTTAAAAGCTAAGTGGTTTGATGAACTGTTACCCAATGTATTGTATAAATTATAATTGATTATCATAGATTTCCATATATACTTTTCTTTCCCAACTTATCTTTCTATTATTTAAAAAAAAAAATCTTTCATGAAATATAACTATTTGATATTAAAATAAAATTTTGGGTTTTTCAACATTTTGATATTTTGGATTTGTCTTGTTTAATTTTTGTTATAAAGTTTTTTCAGATCAACCTATAGAGTTATATTTCATGAATTTTTTTTTTTTGAAAACAGATTGTTGTTTTTAATAATTTATTTAATCTTTGATTTTCTTTTACAACTATTTTTCACTTATGTAATTTTTTTTTTTGTGTTTTTGTTACATAGATTGTTATTGGTAGATAAATTTTGAACAAATTATAAAATTTAGAGATTCCATTGTTATTGGTTTATGGATTCTTAAAATTTTATTATAATCATTTGTTATTGGTATATAGACTTTTAAATTTCATGCATGCACAATCTTTTTTTATTCAGAAAATTTAGTTTTTATTGACTTTGTAACTCTATTAAACTCTCTTGTTATTGAGACATAAATTCTCTCTAGTTTTACTCATGGCATTCAACTTTACAATATCATCTATACTCATAAGATTCTTAAAATCTGTGTAACAAAAACACAAACAATTTTTTTTTTTTTTACACTTTTATTGTCAAGTGAAAAATCTAACAATAATGAAAGCCAGATATATTGATCAGGTAGCTTGTCCACGTATGATTAAAAAATCGTCCAATATGGACATTCTTTTTTGCCACATCACACAAAAATTTTCGTAACACATTGGATTTAGCTTTTTTGGGCTTCTATTTTACACTGATCCGTCACAATTAATTTATCGGCCCAGCAAAACCCATTCGACTGAAACCCTAATATGCTATCCAATTAACTCTCTTAATCTCTGTGTATTTTGGATCTAAGCGCCTCTCAAGATGCAAAAACATTGAATAGCAAGAGGCGAACTGTTCAAAGAAAGCAACAGTTCAAATAAATCGATAAATCTTACCTTTGCAATCATCAACAATGGCAAAAAAAATATGAGAAGGCTATCGGCATCGATCTCGGCACTACATATAGTTGCGTCAGAGTCTGGATCAACGACCGCGTCGAGTCCATCCCCAACAACCAAGGAAACCACACGACTCCTTCCTATGTCTCATTCACCGACACCAAACGCTTAATCAGCAACGCGGCCAAGAATCAAGTAGCTTTAAACCCTCAGAACACCGTCTTCGACTCCAAGCGTCTCATCCGGAGAAGATTCACCGATTCTTCTATTCAGAGCGATATGAGAAACTGGCCGTTCATGGTTGTCCCCAGTCCTGGAGACAAACCAATAATCGTCGTCTCATACAAGAACGAAGAGAAGCAGTTATCTCCCGAGGTGATATCTTCGATGGTGTTGGTTAATTACACAACTTTTATTTTGATTCTTATTTTTGCCATGTTACAAACGTTTCACAATTTTTATGACTAATTTTTTTTCCAAGTCAATCACTCCATCTTCTTTAGGTAATGCCAATAAAAGCTACATACTTTGATTATTCACATGTCAATTGCAGAAAGGTAGATACTTTAGCTTTTCATGTGCCCTCTATGTTTTGGGGATTGATCACTTTGATTGGTTATGTTTTTGCAGTCCCCTAGAAGTTACGGTCCCTTTACTGTGGAGGAACGTCCTGGAGAGCAGTGGATTAGCTTGAGGAGGAAGTTTGGGGATAAAGAAAACAGTAAAGTGGAGGCAACAATATTTAATTGATCAGTTCCGAGTTCAAAGTCCACCAGCATTGAACCTGAGTTTGTTCTTCACATCATTTTCGTTGTCAACATCTCCAAGAGTGGTGTTGGTGAAGATTTGGAGATTATGTGTTCTGCTTGGCCTAATAAAATTGAGATATCCAAGCTCTGTGTTCGTAAAGGGGTTAACAGTTCACCTTCTTTCTACGATGGACCAGAGTTTGAGTACACTGACAACTTGATTCTTTATCTTGAACATTAAAAAGAATTTGAGATATTGGAATACTATGCAGAAGATGATGTTATTGTGTGTTTTGTCTTTGGTTATTACAGGGAGTTGGATGATGAGCTTCAAGACGCTCTCTATCAGTTTTTAGAGGAGAGAGTTATAAGCGACGAACTTGCTGTTTTCTTGCATCATTATATGAAGAACAAAAGTAAAGTTGAGTATCTTAGATGGATGGAAAGAATTAAATATTATGTACATCCTCAAAGGTCAATACGGACCAAAAAAGGAACCACATGATTAGAAGACAAATCTGTCAGATAGTTCAGATAGTTAAATTTCAAAACTCTATATTTGAGTGACTCGCAAGCTAAACTTGACAACAATCATTTCATTAAGAAGCACTACTCATCATCCTATTCGCATCCGCCAAAGCCCCTCCAAATAATTTACAAACCCCAATAGAAATTAAAAACAAATAACTCACATAAGCCGATACATTAATTTAAAAACAAACAGTAACTTCAAGGACTATAACGTCCGACAATAAGGTCATTCTTGACGGCCCTCTGAGATTAGTAGATTACAAATATATAACCAGATAAATCCTCAAACCAACTCTGTGTGTTTATGGCCTCACACATCAACCCTACAATGGTGCTGACTCGGAACTAACTGGCGATGGACCAGGTTTATCGATATCTCATACTGTCTATATTTCCCTATCTACTCTTACTCAACCATTGCGCCTAATCAATATTTATGTGTATATAATATTCAAAAGAACATGCTCTCTGTCTAATGTCTTTGTAATGTTAATAAAATTCTGGTTGAATTTTTTACCGCTTCCTTTGAGGGGAAGGATTTGAGCTCGGAGATCCTGTTAATCTAAAACAACACCAAAGATGGGATGTACGACTGACATACCCAAATATTAAAATTATTTCAATAATCATATTAGGAAATATAGTTAACCATAATGAGGACAAAGTGAATCTAATCTCAGAAACAGTTCCAATAGAAATATATGTTACAAAAATAAAAAAACAACAAAATAACAGTTGCAAGAACATAAAATAAAACGTAAAGCTAATGTTAAACAAAAATTTAAACGAACACAAATATTAAAATATTAAAATATGCATTAACCTATTAATCTAAATATAATGAATTAAAAATTTACTTAATAAAAGCTAAGGTTTACAAAAATCTTAATTCATTTTCCATATGGATAACATCGATATAATATATAAATTAGAATGTAAGGCTATCTGTATAAATTACCCGAACTTAGCCCGGACAAAATCTCTAGTAATTGTAAAATGAAAATTAAAGATAAAATAAATTATTAAAAATAAATTATGCTTATCCCTAGGAATAAGGGTCGATTTTAGGACTCATTTTAATTGGGTCTTCGGAGCCTGATCCGATATTTACCCAACCCCTAGTTTCAATAACAAAAAGAGAAAAAGTTGAAATATAGAGAATATAGAAAAGGAGAGGCTCACGACGAAGTCGACTTTGACTTAAAAGAGAATCCCCTCGTTAGTCGTTACAAAATCCAAATCCTTTTGTGCCTCTTCGCTGCGTTTCTTCTGCATTGACCGGATCGCTTCGTTCTCACGCGGACTCATCTTCAATTCACCATGACTCATATCCTTTGATTCTCTTCCTTCAGATCGATTGTTATCTCCGTTAGTTTTCGCGTTTAGATTCTGAGTTTCGATCAGTTTTTATAATTTAGGGTTTTTAAAATTGTATTTGATGTTGCCTCTGGAATCAATCAATTTGATTAGATCTAATAGGTTGTTGCTTAGGTATCAAAATATACTGATTTGATAAACCAGAAAAATCGAGAACAAAGCTTGTTGCTTGTTGCTTTTCTTTGATTCGATATGATGGTGAAACCGCACGTGGAAGTCAGAGAGAGCGTGACCGTGAAAGAGCCGCGGCTCGTGCTGGAGGAAAAGGAAAGAATGCTGACGACGGATTGACGCCGGAGCAACGCCGTGAAAGGTAAAAAAAAAAGAAAAAGGAATCTGGTTTTGATTGAAATGCTATTGGATTCTGATGATATTGATGACTTCAGAGATGGAAAAGCATTGCAAGAGAAAGCAGCCAAGAAGGCTGCACAAGCTGCTGCTGGTTCTGGTTCTGGTGGAGGAGCAGGAGGCAAAGGAACTGCTAAGAAGTGATCATTATCTCTGAGCAATAATGTAGACCTTTACGGTTTTTTTTATAAACATATCGCAAAATGTTTCAAATTGGGCTAGACTTCGACTTGAGTTGTACTCTTGTCTGAATCCCGTTATGCTGTTTCTGTGTTGAAAAATTCTTGTGGTACCTTATTTGGTCTTTATATTATCTGTCTTGCAATTTTTAATAGTCCCTTTTTGCGGACATTGTAGTTCTTGTTACTCTTAGTGTTTGAAATCGGGTCGCTTTGTTAGACCTGAGCTTGTCTTATGTCGGAACTGCAGTTTGATAGCGTGTGGTGAGATCTTATTCTGATCTGTTAAGAAGTATATTACTTGCAATTATACTGTCTTTGTGGAGTCATTGCAGCCCTTGTTACTATGAGTTTATGTCTCAGTCACTCTGTCAGAATGTTTGAATTCTGGTTATTTAGTAAGAGACTTGAGCTTCGTTTTGGTGTCTGAATCCCCGTTTAGCTCCCTCTTGTGCTGAAAATTGCAAATTTGACTCACTAAGTTAAATTTCCCTCCTGCTCTCAGAAGTATTTCTGTTGAACTCTTGTTTTTTTGTTTACTGGAAACTGTTATCTGAGGAAGGACTTTGCTGGATGAATCTTCACTATTTATATATATATATATATATATATATATATATATATATATATATATATTTTTTTTTTTTTTTTTATTGTGCATTATGAATCCCATATCTTTGATGGTTTCTTAGGATTTTTGCAATTACTTCACCTGAGTTCTGGGAGCAACCATTGATTCCTTGTTGCCCCAGTTTTGATATCACTTCTGAGCTGTGCTGGCTCATTTAGTTGTCTTGACGCTTATATCTGAACTTGTTTAAAGGTGTAAAGAAAAATAAATTAAATCGCACAAGGGATCCAAAACTCAAAACGTAATAAATCTTAAGGCTGAAACTAACACCCACACTTGACTAGAAAGCTTATTTCTTATGGAGATCCTTTGAAAGCAACTTGCTGAAAATGTAGTTAAACTGCCAACCCATGAAAAACCTTCCTGCATCCCTTGGCGTAATAGTTTTACAAGACTTCAAACTTTCTCCCAGATGTTATATTGCTACCTGGAAACAAAACTTTCAAACGTCTATTTACATACCATCTGAATAGACTGATTGTAGAAGGTTTATGAACTGATGATTATATTATTAACATGACTAACATATTTATGCATGAATCATTCGTGAATAAGATAAGCATAGATATTTCTATGACTTGATCTTGACAAGATATAAACAAATTTATAGATGCTAATATGTCTTTTCATGATGGACGATGTTTACGAAGTCCAGTTTTGATTGTAAGATCACTAAACCAAGAACGAGGAAGTGGTTTCGTTAAGGCGTCAGCTAACTGGTCAGCTGAGCTAATGTGAGAGAAACGATGTGTATATGGCTTGAGCTTGTTCACTAACAAACTGATAGTCCAACACTAAATGTTTACTCTTGAACGAAAAACCGGATTTGTTGAGAGATATGTTGCTTCTATGTTATTGCATGTGTTTTGATATAGGGAATCCCAAACTCGAACATAAGTGAGTTAAACCATTTGACCTCCAATGCAGCTTTTGTTAGGGTCCTACTGATACTCGGCCTCTGTCAAAGACCTAGCAACACCACTATGTTTTTAGCAGACCACGACACCAGTTGCTTCCCAAGGTATACAATGTAGGTGCATGTGCATAAGTAATTATATCGATCCCCTACCTAATGAGTATCTGAATAGTAATGTATCTTGAATGGTGAAGGTGAAGAGAAAAAGATTCCTTTATCGTTCTTTTTTGCACCGCTTTCCAATGCACTTTTGTTAGTCTGTGTGAATAACAGAAGATAACCGGTTAACCGCACAAGAAATGTCATGACGAGTTAATTGAAGATATTATAAGCTACCTACCATGACATGATACCCTCTAGCATTAGGTAGAACCTCGCTGGATAACAAAGTTAAATCCTCAGAGGTGGGCATCGACATATCATCAGCCATTGGAGCCTTAACAGTAGATACGTTATGAACTTAGTTTGCTTAAGATGCAGTCCATTTGAGCTTTGTTTTTGTTGAATATGCTTTGAATCTGTGAGCTGTCGTGTATCGGTCGATCAAGTAGTCACAGATCGAGCAATACTTGGCAGGGATCAATCGATCCTAGCAACTTGGATAGAACGATCCTTGCTAAATCCAAGAAATATGGAATTTTTATATCAAACACTTTCTTATATACCTTTGGAAACCTTTCCTATTTTGTAGCACGAATTATAATCTTTGAAAACTCGCCTCCATTAATAAATTACTCTCTTTTCTCGTGGATATAGTCCTATGGGTGAATCACGTTAAACTTGTATCTTTCTTTATTGTTTTATCTATTCTGTTAATCTTTCTTCTCACATTCGTCAGAACTTACTGGTATCGGAGCTTCGGATTGAATATGGTGAGAAGATGTCTGGGATAGCATGGACATTGACAAGTTTACTGGAAGGATTAGTTTAAGTTTATGACAATCAGATGAAAGCGTTTCTGAAGCAACAAGGACTTTAGGCACCATTGTCAAGGAAGAAGGTTGAACATGTTACAACATAGACGGAGGTTATTGAAGTGAAGGTGTATTCAACGATTTTTTTTTTTAATCTGGCAGATGAGATCATCATCGAGGTTTCTGGTGTTGATACTGCAGCTGGTTTGTGGTCAAAGTTAAAGAGCATGTATATGATGAAGTCTTTAACTAAGATACTACTTCTAAAATATAGTTTTTTTCAGTATGAAAATGCAAAAGAAGGTACACAACTTCAGGATCATCTTGATAGTCTAGATTCCATTATGTTGAATCTGAGGAATATTGACGTTAAGGTGCAGTAACAAGGATCCCACCTTCCATCAATTTACTTTTCTCTTAAGACTTATTTCATTATTTCATTATCGCATATCATTCACTCATCATTCGATCATCATTCTATCATAATCTCCCTCATTCATCTATTGTTTATCATTACTTGTTTTATCATACTTTGTTTATGTATTTCATCGTAAAGTCCCATAAAAATTTTTTAAAAAAAATTTCAGGTTGCATCAAATTCAAGATCATCACCGACCATTCGCCCATTCCATCTCGTGTTTGGATCAGGAACCTCTATCGTCATGAACGGATCCACCCCGCCCGTGCCTACAACAGGGAGGAACATCATTACCACCAACTGTTCCAGGGATAACCTCTAGAGCTGCCACATAATCCCGAACAGCATTAGCCCTCTCCTTTCTCTTCCTGGAAGAGTAGGCCACTCACTGAGAAAGTTTAGGAATGACAATGGTTGGACGCACCTCGATGAAGTAAGACGAGACACTAGAACCATATGACAACAAAAATTTATGAGAATGATGATCGAAGTAATGATTCTAACAATCAACACACTATTGAAAAGAGAAAAACAAAAATAATAGCTACAACACTCAAAAAACATAAGATAAAGGAGAATCAAATCGAGATTTCGACGAAACACAACGAGGAAAGTATTACACCAAAAAGAAACAAAGGATACATAGAACGAATAGCATAACTTTCAGTTTTTCTGACAAAAGTAGGTAAAAGATAACGAATGAATATAAAAAAATTATATTCTAAAAATTGTGAATGACAAAAAAAAAAAATGATTGCCACATCACAAATGATTCACTTTCCCAAAAAGAAAAATTAAATCATTTGATTTACATCAATCAAATCTTGCAATTAATTCGTCAAATTGGGTTTTGAGATCATAGACCACCGGTCTCAAATACACGATCCAAGTAAGAATCAATACCGACCTGTCAGACAAACCAAAACACATCGGACTTTCGGGGATCTATTGTAGGAGGCGGGTTTCACCCCATTCTAGACATGTTCCAAAAATACGATCCAGTGCCACTGAAGCCCAAAAGAAGATAACTGCCCACCCCGAACTGAAAGGATGATTAATGTCGAGTTGACGTAGTGAAACAAAAACGTAAAAGAAATCAAGATATTAAAGATAACCACTAAAACATACTGTATGATACATATTGGTGATCACGTCGTTAAGTTACACCTTTCAAGACCTAGAGAAACCAAGAAGAAGGAGATTGATTTTTTCAATACCAAACTGATAGTCTCAATACATTTGCATTTTCTAGTTCTTAGCTATCCTTTGTACTCTATAGATGTATTTTAATCACACTATAAATCAAATACACATGTTCATTCGCAATCGTCAATCCATACGTTTTTCTTAGATTCCTTTTATATACGTCATCGTAATTTATAAACCCTATTTTGGAAGTGGATTTTGAGATCCATCAAAAAGTATATGTATTAATTAGAAGAATGTAAAACTAAATGTAAACAGAGAAAGAAGTTAGGCTTAGCTTAAACAAATTAGGCATAAACTGATCTCTGACTAAAGATCTAACTTCAAACCACCTACGGAGGAACATGAACTTGTACCTTATTTCATTCAACCTGGTTTAGTAGCAGATCTTGAGCCATTGCATTATTCTTACGTCTCCCTACAATTTTTATTATTATTTTGGTGCCACTTTAAGCTCAACGTTTTCTTCTTCCTTTTTTTTTTTTTTTAATTCATTAGCACAATTTTAGAATAATAGGCTTCGTCTACGATTCCATCTTCCACGCTGGTTACAGCAAGATAAATAACTTTTCTAATTATTACTTTTGCGAATTATTTTTTGAACCATTTTTTGTGGAAAGTCAAATTTACGATCAAAACACCAACGAAAACACAAACCAGAGATCGTTTCGTCCATCATCTTCTTCTTCTTCTTATCCAATCCTTGCAGTGAGGGATCCTTCGTTATTACAATGTCTAACCAAACGTACAAATTCGGCTTCTTCCGTCGGAAATATCACCACGCAGCTTCGGTGGCACCACCTGAGGTCAAGATCCTTTTCGAGAATTACTCCGAGAAGGGTGTCATGAACGTCGATCATCTCCTTAGGTTTCTTATAGA